ACGATGGGCCGTACAATACTTTACTAAAATTTTGAAATTATTAAGATTTAATCTAGTGAAATCTGATTATCCTTATCCGATAGGGCTTCAGCGATAACCTTTTCACTAATAAACACACAAATGGAGCCCGCAGGTTTTAAAATTATTTAATTTTTAAAACCTTCACCCATTCAACATTTTTGTTTGAGAATTTTCATAAGCCCTGTCGAATTCATTGTTTAATTTCAAAATTATCTTTAATAACTTAGTATTATCGACGATGGGCCATACAATACTTTATTAAAATTTTGAAATTATTAAGGCCCAATAAAATCCAATCATGCTAATCCGTTGGGGCCTCACATGATTATTTTATTGATAGGCCCACAATGCCCCTGGAGGTTAAATTAATTTCTTAATTTAAATCTCCTCCCATAATTATTTAAGTCCAATCTAATAAAATCCAATCATGCTTATTCGATGAGACTTCACATGATTATTTTATTAATGGTCCTATAATGCGCTTGAAGGTTAAATTAATCTCTTAATTTAAATCTCCTTCCATTCAACATAAGCAACATTTTCTAATTTCCAAGAATTATTTAATTGAGAGTATCCTTTGTTCGATTTCAAAAACTATATAAGTAAGAGCGCCGATAAACGTGCACTAAGCTTAACATAATTTTGAAAGCATTAAGGTCCTGAAATCCGGTCACTTTACGTCAGCGTGTGCACCAAACAATCATGATACATGAAGGTTGTATGCAGCGTGTGTTATTCCATGACCATTTCAGAAAACCCACAAATTACTCGCAAAATAAAAGAATTCTCTTAGGAAATTTTCTCTAAATATTTTTCTAGATTTAAATCATCCAAATAGCTGACTTAATTATTAATCTAGATTGAAACAATCATAATAATTATCATTTATGAGGATAATTTGAAATCAAAATAATTTCCATAACGATTATTTGTCTTGATGTTAATTCTCCAAAATTAATTAATTCAATTATTAATCTAGATTTTTAATAAAAATCATAATAATTATTAATTAATTTCTTAGGATAATTTAAAATCAAAATAATCTCATAATAACTATCATACTAGTCGCTGAAGACATAATAGTTATTATGCTCATGCAATCATACAAGTTATGCAACGATATGACACCACCTATTCTATATGGCATGTTATCACAATAAAGCATGTTATCAATCATATAATTTATACCAATCAATAAAAGCATTAAATAATAAATCATAATTACTTTAATCCATGGCCTTCCTATTTTAAAGAAAATTAAATTAAATTAAATTAAATAATACAACTTTGGAATTCGACTTTCGCCTAGCCCATAGTATCTGTCTCAAGCCCCTTTAGGGTTTCATGGGCCCAAAAGCCCAAAGACCCAATCCTTTGGCGAGAAACCCTAGGACGCGAAAGAGGAACCCTAGCCGTCAGGTCTGCCGCACCGTCACCCGAATTCAAATCAGGCTGAAACTCCAGGGGAAGGACCACCACGTAGAGACGAGTGCACCGCCGTCGGAACCACCCAAAAAGGTGGCCGGACGCTCCCTCACTCTCCAATTCTTTGCCGGAGAGTGGCGACCACTCTCAGCCGCTTGTGGAGGCGCGTGGGGGTGCGTGAAGGGTTAGATGGCGGTGATCCACCCACCGTTGCGTTCGTCTTTCCGTCGTATTTCCAACCATATATAGATCGCCCCATTCTGAGATCGGGAAGTCCTCGAAAAGTCTCCGACAGTACTGACTACGCATCTTACTCGCGGTTTCTCGATCTTGAACTTTTACAAAATATTGGAAAAATACACAGAAATTCCGAAAATAAATAAAAACAGCAAGGAGAAAACCTAATCATATGGGATTAGCCTCCTTGTTACAAATCGAGAAATACACGAGAGACCCTAACCATGGATTAAAGCATTTTTACCGATTAGAATTTAAACTTTTATGAAAATGAATTATAAAATACACATGCTAGATTCATACCATAATCCTAGAACCCTAGGTGCCACATTCCAAGAAGCAAAACTAATTACATGAATAGTGAAACTAGATTCACATACCAATGTACAGCCAAGGCTCTGATACCAATTGTAGGAAATCTTAGATTTATGCGGAAGCGGTTTAGGACCTAGTACATTGGTATGCTTACCGAATCATCCTTGTTTCACAATTACCTCTCGGTGCGCAGGTCTCGTGTAGAATCTTCCCTTGTAGGATTCCTCTTCACGAACAGCTCACCTCAGCGCCGCAGCACGAACAACCTCCTTGAAGCTGGACTGTGGCAGATCTTCCAAACTATCTCTCGAGGAGGAAGGAGAAGTGTGTGGGCACTGATTAGATTCTGAGCTTGCCTCTTTCTCACAAAAAAGACCTCTAAGGCTGATGACTTAAGAGGTACTATTTATATAGGTTCCAAGAAACCCTAACTCATTGAGCTCTAGGTTTTTTGGGCTCTTCTCATACTAATAACCCATTTAGACTTTAGTAAAAGAGCAAACCCAACAGAAACGGCTTCAACACTTTCCCTATCATATATATATGGGTTCAAGTTTTCTCATGTTGTAGGATAGTAGGAGAGAAAAAAAGTAGAGAGAAGTTAAATGTGGGTCCCATCTTTTATATTAAAAAAGAAAAGAAAAATTAATTGGCACGGAAAACGAATTTGTGTAGGAAAAAATGTTACTCTCATGTAGCATGAGAGTATTATTTCCCTATATATATATACACACAACACAATTGACTTTATCGATTGAAGAGATTGAAGGACAACTGTGACATCTCACTATACCTACCGTCCTCAATCTCATCCTTACTTTAGCACAGCCTAGAATATTTCATTCTAATATAGCTTGCATTGGACATTCGGTTGCATCAGCTAAATCGTCTTGAATAGGCTTGCAATGTTAGCACTAGCTAACACGGATATATAATTAAAGGGAAATATTATTCTTATGCAACATAAGATAATATTTTTTTCCTACACACCCATTGATTTCCGTGTAGTTTAATTTATAATTTTTTATTTTTTATAAGTGAGTGGGCCCCATCCATAATTGTGTCTATGGTAGGAGATAACACTCTCCTACAACATGAGATTACTAAAACCCATAATTAAATATAGTTATTAGTATACTACACTGGGCATCAATGAGCAAGACTCGCACACGCTAAACCCAATAACAAAACTTTAGTTGTGACAAATTGGAAAATTATTTCTAGAACGTGATATTTTAAAACATAATTTGCGAAAAAGTGGCAAAATGATCGTTGCACCTTTTTTTTTATATACCATCTTATTTTTTTTTAACCTTATGAAAGAGTGATCAAACATGCTCCTAACTTTCAATTTTGTGTTTTATGAATTAATGTTAGCTTTGCCTTGGTCTGTATAATGACTACAGGCTACGGGCTTCTCTAGCCCATATGTTTACATTGCCATCTTCATGACTAGACAGGCCTGCCCACCAGTATCTTCGGCCCAACAAATTATTTTAAGAGATCGATTTCATGTGTAGGCCTGAGTACGACACTTGCTGTTATCAGGTTTGGGCACTATCCCCACTCTCCCTGGAGGCTGAAGCCCACATATATACTTCTTTTTGGACCAATACAATTTCAATAAAATTTCTCTTTGTGGGATATGGCTCATACTTCGCATGCTGATGATGACTCTTGTTGTCGGATCAGCAAAAAGACAACTGGACCCATGAATAATTGTTATTAGGATTTTTTCTAATCCTATTTATATTCTCTTTGTAAACCGAGTGACTTGTAATGAGTGGCGGTGAAGTGAATATAGTACAGACAAGCTGGACGTAGCTTAAATTGGATGAATGAGGATAAATTGTTGTATCTATTCTCTCTCTTTCTCTTTTCGTTTGCATTGTCTATTTCCAACAGTCTTTGACCTTTCGGTTCTCAATTTCGCTTTAGCAATTCCACCGTTGATCAAGATCAATGGCTGGGTTCAATTTCACAAGCATCCCTCTAAGCAGCAAAGGAGTATATCAGATCATACCTCAAGCATCAAAATTAGCTTCAAGTTGATTGTACCAAAAATAAAAAAAATAAAAGTAAAAAAATAAAAAAAATAAAATAAGCATGTGCCTTTATCTTCACTTGTGTCTTGATTAAAAGGTAGAATTAATTAGAACAAAAATTACAATTTTTAGGATGCATAAGATGTAGAACAAAAAAGATTTCTAGCGGAAAACGTCAGAACCCATTGGATCAATTCATGTAGATTTCTTTGAATCATGTGCTTCAACTTTATTCATGCTAGATAAAATCTCCTTTCATCCGGAGGGTATTGAACTTGGAAATGAATCCTCTCTCATGTCAAAAGAACTGACATAGTCATGTGAAAAGATCACAACCATATATATGTTAATCAACCATTATGATTTTGTAACTATTTGTTTCAATATTTTTTTCCTCTCTTTGTTTCTCACAATTGATCTATCTTTATATGATTATAATTCTTTGTATAACCATATCGTTTTTTTTAACACGAAAGAATTTAGATTCGTTCAACTTCTAATTTCCACACACTAACCATATCATATAGTAAAAAAATTCAGCATTTCACTGTTTGAACTCAAACAAGCCTTATCCCTACTTAACATAGGCATATACATCCTTAGCTAATGCAAGACATTTATCTTATCGCACTTCTGCCATGCCCATCACATACATGTTTTGTCAGTTGCTTGAAAACAAAAGCAATTCGTTTATTTAACAACTGATTTCCGGAAGTCTCACCATACAGATGCACTGAATTCTCACATATATTTGTCATGTTTTTGCCCCATTAGATATAAATTAAGTTTTTTTCTTTTGTTTTTTTAGGGGAATTGTCAACTTTTTTTTTTATGCGATATACAACTATTATTTATATTCTAATTCTATCATTTGTACAAATTCCATCCCTAGTTTGGATCCTACTATTCCTCATCAGTTCATGCCGTCAAAGAAAAGCTAAAAGGGCTGCTGTTAATTTACAAGTCAGATTTGGCATCTCCTATGCATATTACAGAACCTACTACTTGTTTTCGAGCCGTGAGACGATTCACTAGTCTCTCTAGAGCTTCTTTCATCCACCAGTGTTGACACACTTCCCTTGCTTCAGAAACGCTCATCTACACCCACAAAGAAAAATTCAAACACTATCTCAGTGATCATTTAGAAAACAAAGTTGAAAGAAATAGAAAAAAAAAATCAATACACTATTTCAGTATTACATGTTTTTAACCTACCCATATTCTTCTACGAACGTTATGCTCTGGCCAGAACTCTAATTGCTCTTGAACAAGTAGAGGAAACATATAGCCTTCATAGAAAGTATCATGGCTTTTGCTTTTGAAGCTCCACTTACCCAATTTGCCCTACAACAACCCAAAAAAGAGCATTTCAACTTGCTAGTTTTACATTTGATAATGGCAAGTGTGTGATTATTTTAAGCCCAATAATTAAGTTGATCAAATAGCCTCACCCCAACAATGCCTCGTACACCTGCTTCCTCTATGGTTTCTCGCAAAGCTGCCTCCTTTTTTGATTCGTCTAGTTCCCAGCCTCCCTGGTGTTTGGTCAAACACACAACACATTGAACAAAAAAAAAAAAAGAGAGTAAATAAATCAAAATAATATACCATTTGGGTGTTGAAAATAATTAACTAATATATTGGTGTAGGCTTACCTTAGGAAATAGCATCCCTTTGCCTTTCTGAGAAGTAATAACCAAAACTTCTAATTCTTGTGCTGCCTCCATGGAAGTTTGGTCACCATTTTTATGTCTGTATGGTATGCATCTGCTAGGTAGCGCAGGCACAAAATTGTTAAAAAAAAAAAAAAAAAAAAAAAAAAAAAAAATGAACGTTGGATTAAAAACAAAGAAAAGTTCAATGGAAACCCATATAGAGGATTAGGGTACAAGAGACAAACCCCACGACTTGGCGACGACCTTTTCTGTAGCGTTGCAACTCCCTGCCTGACCGAGAAACCAATGCCACAACGTTTTCTTGGGAAACCAAAGCCGCCATTTTCTTTTTTTTTTTTTTTTTTTTTTTTTTGGTGAGGAACTTTGAAAGAGGAAGAGAGAAGAAGGTAAAAGTTTGAGAGATGGGAAGGCAAAAGTAGTGAAAGCAAATTGAGTTAATTAGCGGATAGGATGATAGGAAGTGGGGGTCCTATTAATAATGGAATTATGGTAATGCTACAAAGAATGTCATAGCAAGGGCATGAGTGGGGAGAAATGTCAATATAATAAACTATATGATTACATAGTTTTCGCAGTGATATCTAGGGTGTTTGCAGTCTGGGTTGAATCGATTTTGAAAGCAAGAATCATCTGATTCAATTCCTCCGGTTTGGATTTTTTTTCAAATCTGATCCAATCAAATCTAAATTTTTTCGGTTTGAATTAGATCGGTTTTCGATTTTTTGAAAATCCTAAAATTTATTTCACGATTATTGTGCAAATAACATATTTTGAATATATTGACTTTGTAATTTTTTTTTTAAATACAAAAGCATTAGTAAACTATAATATAGCTTTTTTTTTTTGCAACGAAATATGAAGCTCTACAAAGATAAAATTTTGTTGATGAGATGTGATTAGATTTTTTCTTGGGATTAGTTGATGGGTTAATGGGTCTTGGGTTTAGAAATTTTTAAGCTATTATTAGGAAAAAATCAAAGTAGGTAGAGGAGAATTAATATAGTGGATCGGTTGGGATTTGATCGACTTTTATCAACCCATTCAAAAATCGATCCAATCCAATTAAAATTTGCGATTTTTTTTTTCAGTTCTTGGTTTTCCGATTTTCGATTTATTCAGTTATCGATTTTTCGGTTCGGTCACCGCTGTTTGAATCGATTTGGATCGGTTGATGAACATCCCAATGATATGTGGGATATCTTTAGGGGGAAAGAATTTAAAAGCAAAATAAAACATAGACGTGTAATTCTCTATCTTTGTATGATTTATTAGTAAGATTTTGTCTTAATATATGCATTGGAAATGGTCGAAGTGACGGCTCAATCAAATTGGCCAAAAGCATCTTCATCCACCCATATATTCGCGCCCACCTTCCAAGAAAATTAGGCAAACCGAAACGCAACCCCTTCCTCTCTTTGGCCTTATAAGAGACGAGTTGCTTAACTTTCAACTCCATATTACTATTGCATTTCTAGCACATGCATGGTTGTTAGCTAGGAAATATAAATAAGAATAATGATATGATAAGACATCCATACGTGAATATTTGGTAAAGTTTAAAAATTAAAAGACACAATACTGATAAGATACAATGTACAGAATACCAATACAGCAACCATAATAGTGAAGCACCGGTGCTTCATTGATTCTTTAGCCCATGAAATGTTAGTCATATTTGATTTGGCATTTCTTCTATCGTCATTTTGTTTTCCAAAATAAGGGTGTACTCTCTCTCCCTCTTGCTTGCTTTGGTGTCACGTGTAGATATGTCAGCGGTGGTAAATTTCTGGTGACCGAAGTATATATTGGCAGTGATACACGACTTGGTAAGCTATCTAAGTGGTGATACATCTTTATTTCCGTTTTTGTTTTGTTTTATTGACACTTTTTAAATGTTATCTGTGTGTTTTTCTTTTTATAGTCATATGTCTTATAAGTGGTTTTCCAAAAGCAAGAGAAAGAAGTCATTGAAGTTCACACACGTGAAGTTTATCATTGACATTAATCTTGGAGTTCCACCGAAATCAACCACTTTGGTGTAAATCTGATAACTTGATGATAGATACATATTTAAATAAAATCATATTGTTTATATTTATCCTAAAATAAATTTTCTTTCTTAATTATATCATATCATATTTTATGTAATGAACACCTTTTTTAAACAAAATGGCAAAAAATTCAAGATGTCTAATTAAGAGGAATAAATTCTTTATTACTTAAATCAATAATTGTTGATAATAAATAAAATTCAATTTTCTTGAAAGTGTTAGAGTCTCTTTATTTCTGTCTGTTAGAAAATTTAATGGTCCTTTGAGTTTGATATAACGGTCATGTGGTGGCTGCACTAAAGTTGTTTGACGAGTCTTGACGATATTATAATGGTCAGTTTTTTGGTAGTATAATAAGTTATTAAGTTAATGTTTATTTGTGTGTAATGTGTCTCTTAATTGTTATGCTTTTTAGTTTTAGTTTCTGACTTATATTAAGTTTGGATCAGTTTATGAAATATGTATTCCCTCTTCAAATATTGTGAGTTATATTTCTGCATCTTAATTTCTTTTAACAGTGGTATCAGAGCCAAAGGTTTGGTTGGGCCGGGTAGTTAGAGACGGTGATGTTTCAAGACCTCCGCAGAAGGCTAGTGTGACTCCAATAGTTAAAAGAAAAAAGACTTCCGCAGAAGTTGCCCTTAAAGGGGAGCATGATATTGGGTCTCACATTTGAGGGGAAGATGTTGGAAATATTCAAGTATGAATTATAAAGAAGTACCACATCGGCTAGACATAGACCAAGCGATGACCATATAAACTGCAAAAGATCCATAAACCTACAGCCTTAAAGTTTTGGGTTGAGATGTGGTGTCGGCCCACTTATTGTGGTTTATTGCTTGGCCCATGCCCATGGATATATCCCTTGCAAAGAATTTTGGGCTCCCCCGTATCATTCTTAACAGAAAGTGCGAACTTGAATAGAGAAGGAAAAAATTAATTTATTAAAAAAAATCAAACCTTTGACATTAAATTACACTAAAACTAAAATTTTAAAGACTTATTCGTGGACTTGTGAAATAATAAAGTTGTGAGATACTTAAAAGTGCATGGGTTTGAATCTCGTAATACATTTCACGCCTTTCTCCCTGTTCTTTCTCATGCGTGTTTCATAATAATTATTTGGAAAAAACAAATATCATGTTATAGGAAAAATTCTTATGGGGTCCATCATTTTTAAAACAAAAGAAAATTAAAAAATTTGATGGGTTCACTTTTACGTATCTGTAGGAAAATTCTTCATGTCATGTGAAAGGAAAAAAATATTACCCTAATTATTTTCGTACTTTTTAGCATAAAATTGTTTCGAAAAAAAAGTTGAGGATAACAGACAACGTCACAAAATAAGAGCCCATGGGATTTAGGGACTGGAAAAGCCCACGGAGCCCACTACGACTCCAGGACATCGCCAACCCAAAACCAAATAATCACACTACCATTAACCTGTTTTAGCTTATGCCTCAACGACACAGATATGTTGAAAGATAAAAATAATTGATGTGAAAATGTCAGTTATTATTATTTATTTATTTTTTCTGAACCATGAATACGTATGACAACCTTATGTATATTATTGGCCTCTTACAAACGAGGAGAGAGACAATATTGGTAAAAATTGCTTAGTCAATGGTTAATTGCAAAATATCAGTGGAGCCATGCTACTAGAATCAAGCCTCCATTTGTCACTTGTTATGTCTATGTAGTAGACAATGTCTATATAAGATTCTAAATTAATTCTTAAGAGAACATATAAGATATTCTAAATTATTTTAAAATATAATTACTACATCACAAAATATTTTTTATATATTAATTCTAAGAGTTCATTTTGTACGGTTCAGTTGTTGACAAACGGTAGGCTGGACTTGAAGAAGAACTTGTTTCAGTACACCAAAATTACAATACAAACCGAATATTCTAAAAATTAAATTGAAAATAAACCGGGGGATAGAAAATCAAAAACGGTTTCTATAATCACTCAATGAATGAACAAACCCCAGTATAATATACATGCCAAAAACAGGTCAATGACGAAAACAACGATGTCTCTTCTCGATTCTATATTCAAGCTTGGGAAATTTCGTTATATGCATCTTTAAACGAACCATGATTCTTCTCTGAAATAGGATGACAAACTTCCTGAATCCTTCTTGCCACCACATCCATTGAAGGCCTCTTGTCAGGATATTGAGCAGTACAATCAAGAGCAAGCTGCAAGAGCTTTACCATTTCCTCGACAACATTGTGGTACCTGAGAAGCTCCATGTCAAAAACTTTGTTATTCCATGAGAAGGATGTTTGACGACTTGATATTTCCATGAGAGGTTGTTTGGCCATGTGAATGTAGGTACGCAATCCCACGAGCAGCACCAAGGGCAATGGAAGACCTTGTTTCCCAACTCAGTAGAGTCCTCCCAGCTCCATTATTTGCTATAACATGAAAATGGAAAGATATGTAAGCAAACATTAACTGTCTAGAATCCAAATTAAAATCCATATTAATTCTAAATCAATTGCAGTATCATTCACCTAAAACTTGCCAAAAAAGAAAAAGAAATATTGTTCTTTGCAAGCAGCATTTCATCAAATATTAAGCCTTATACTAAAACCATAATTGAAATATTTAAAATGCAATAACTAAATCCTTGAGCCTTATGCTGTCAGCGATACTTCAGAAGAATTTTGAATGTTAGAACATTAAGTACAATCCTGAAAGGAAATATTTAATGACACCAAAGTTTAAAAGACTGAGGATCAGCTAAGAGGCACAAAATTCAGATTTCTCAGACAATGCTTTATATATCATCAAACTAAACTCTTGATGCAAGATTTCATCTCCCATAGGAAAAAATGTACTACAAATATGCAGTGGCCTCGAAATCAGAATTTCATATAAATTTTGTCACTAAATACAACTATACAGGCAAACACATCAATATTCACTCGTCACTCGTGTCAAAGCGTGAAAGCTGAAAACGCATCTTTTATTAGCCCTTTCAGCCTTGAAGCAAATGGGGTCTTCCAGCTTCAGCAGTGTATAAACTCACAAAAATTTGCTCACACTTTTGTGTCTCAAATCTCAATAATGTAGCAGAATTGGCTTCGGATTTTGTTACACTGGGGAGGTGATACTTTTTTACCAACTAGAATGGACGCAAATTATCTTAAAAAGCTCTGGTGAATTAAACAGACAAAGAGAACCGGACAAGATAATGCTTGAAAGAATCTTGAATAAGAAATCGGTGCAATCAATAGTGCAAAAAAGAAAATGCAAAAAGCATGAACAAATGTGCGGTACTATTGGAATCCTAGCAGATCACGAAACCAGAAGACCAATCTTTAAGGGAGAGGGACTATTATACCAAGGAAGAAATGAGAAGTAGAATATGATGAGATACAATATATGAATGTATAAAATTTTATTAGTTCATGGTAATATGCTATCATTGTATTTTTAGTTATAAATATTATATATTATCAAAATATATGTTCCGAGAGAAGTTCCATTGTTTGCAGCCAAAATATTAAAGTTTTGATTATATAGCTTATATCATGTCAAAAAATAAGTTAGTAGGGTCACATATAAATACTAAATTTCAAAAAAATAAACTGAAATCAGACAGGCACAAGATGTGATGAAATATAGCCATACTTGAGACAAGAAGGTTAGTGACATAGAAAACGGCGCCATGACAATAGAATCCCGTGCGATGCACGAAAGAAAAAGATCAAAAATTCTGTCGGCGTCTGTCGTCGCTTAATCGCTAAAAGAAAAAATCGTGTTAATATTTTGTGCTATCTAAGGAGGTGAAAAAGATATAACACTCATATAGAATTTTGTAAGTATCTACCACAAACAAAACTCTGCAATTAAGAAACATCAATTATTATGCAAATAAAAGATAGTTATATACTCTATAATTGATTATTCTCATATACAACAATCATTTGATTTATAATAGGTAATACTTTTTTTATGTTGAATAAGAAAAATATTATCTCCTATTCAAATAATAAATAGAAGAGAGAAAAAAATTGGAAGTGAAAGAAAAAAAATTTGTGAGATCCATTTAAAAAATATGAATGTAGGAGATAATATTTCTAGTGTGCAATATAAAAAAAATGTTACCTTTATAATAAACAAAAAAAGTAGCATGATGACACGGAAAAGAGAGGATACTATTGTCCAAAAATGACAACCAAGCAAAAAAGATGCCTACTTACAATGTAAGAGTGCAGATAAGCTTCCCATGGGCATATAATCATAAACAATGAGCTTTTCATCCCTGCGAAAAGAATAACCTCTGAGTGGGACCAAGTTCTCATGAATCATCTTCCCCACTTCTTCAATTTTTTCTCGGAATTCTTTTTCTGTTGAGACAACATCCTTCAACCTCTTCACAGCCACACTAAACCCCATTTCCATAATAGCCTTAAAAGTGGTTCCAAATGTCCCCAGCATTTCAGCAGAAGCCCTCAACAACTCCTCCAAATTAAACAGTTTATTCACATTCCCAAAAAATACCAAACTCTTATCCCCACCACCACCACTCTTAACATCACTCATTTTCCAATGTTGATGCTCATTGACAGGCATAACAATATGACGGAAAGAGTGTCCATACTCGTGAGGTTTACCTCTTATTTATAGGATTTTATGATGTGCAGTGAAATTCAGGATATTTGGTGATTTTCTGGATGCCCATGTCCAAATTCGTAGGTTTTCTATTAGGATTAATATCATGATTATTTCTTCTATTTGTGCTAACTTCCTCTTTTGGTTACCCTTTCTTGGACTTACTAAAACATGGGCTTCTCCCTACAAAAAAAATTGATGATCAGTGTAAGTTGGGAAAACCTCCACTAGATGATTTAATTTTTGCAAGTTTTAAACCTCCACATTTTAATATTATATTTTGCTATTTTAATTTGTTTAAAAATATATATATTTTTTATAATTTATATTCACTTTTTACATATTATAAAGCGCGGCAAAGATTTTTAGGGAGTGTATTGGATTGGAATTTCAAATGATTTTAAAGGATTATTTTTGGAAAGAAAAATCCGTTGGTATTCGATTAAGATTTTAAAAGATTGAAAAAAAGTCATGTGGTATTCGATTAAGATTTTAAAAGATTATTTTAGAGTCCGTCCAAATCCTATAGTATTCAATCAGGATTTTAAACAAACAAAAAATCTTGTGATATTCAAAAATCTGACGATTTTAATGAATTTTCTATTGGTGTGGATTTCGTGAATTTTTTATTGAAAAATATAAATAGGATTCCTTTTTCGAAACCGGATTTCGCTATGGGAGTTTCGTCAAAGCTCAAAAATAGCAGATTTTTTAGCGATTTTAATCACAAAATAACCCAAAAACAACAAACTAACAAGATTGTAATATAATCCATCTAAAAAAAAGTACATTTTTAAGAGCTTTTAAAAATTTAAAAAATAATTTTTCAAGCTATAAGTCGCTATTTTTCTTAGTATGATTTTTGTATTAAAAATAACATAAAACAGTGAAAAAATAACAGACGAACTAAAACCCTCAAACCAATTCTCGTTTTACATTAATGACACAATATCAATTTTAAGAAAGATTGAAACTTTCATAATATGAATACTATATTTGTAATAATATATTCATTAATGAAATTTTTTCGTTATAGGAAATGATTTCAAATAATTTTTATGTCATTAGATAATTAAAAATTTAATTTTCAAAAGCCGTAAAACAATTTAAAGTTTGAACGAGAATCCATGTCATGACATTCAGGGGAAATCTTTACAAAATATGAATTGTATGCAGCCTTTACCGTGTTGGTTGTTCTTGTTTTATAGTATTAGACTGCATGAGACTATGATTAGGATTTGGTTTGGCGTGCCAAAAGGACATGCAATTAAAAATAAAAATGAATAAAACAAAAATAGAAAAAATGATTCCATGATTGAGGGCCCGAAATGAAATAAAAAAAAAATTTGTTTAAAAAAAATGGACACATATTAAAGAATTAAAAGAAAAAAAATTAAATGAAATATTCAATGTTTTATAAAATGTTAAAAAAAGTGAGCAAAAAGTTAAAAAATGTTTTTTTATTCTTGAATTAGTTATAATAAATAATAAATAATAGTTTTATTCTCAAGGCACAATTTTGGAAGGGGGGAATTGGAAACTTAAACCAAGTGATGTTAAGAGAGTAAGAGAGTAAGAGAGTAAGAGAGTAAGAGGCAGCCAAATTGGCTAAGGTAAACTCAAGACTTCTCTAACCTTTTGAGAATTCTTGACCAGTTTACCATATCATCCATCATAATTTTTATCTGTTAGGACCAAGTTGATACACAATAAGATAAGGTGCTTGTTGTTGGAGGATTCAATGACATCTCCATATCTCAGACCTCCAATGGTTACCAAATACCAAAGACTAGCCCCTTAAAATGTTTTCATTATGAAAAGCCACGAGAGGCAACATCCATAACATAATCTGAAACTTGTGATTGCAGTTACAAGTTTATCCTTATTGTGACTGTTTGTTATTAGATTTGTTTATCTTTATTTTAATTTTTTTAAAGTAATATTATATTATTTTATTAATAGTTATCTTAAGAGTGTTATTAATTTTTAATTCAATTTAGGATTTTCTTATCCTTGATGAAGTTGTAATCGTATAAATTGTTAATTCACTAGCACACAAGGGATGCAAAAGAAAATAATTCAAGCCTCTCTCTCAATATTTCAATCTTCTTCTTAAATTTTTCTTCTTCTAAATCCTCTCTATCTTTCTAATTTTGCTTCTTAAGTTTGACAAGCAAAGAGATGTAGGCACAGCACGACAGAGAAGTTCATCAGCGGGCATCGATCCAAAAGTGCGAATAAATTTTTGGTACTACTGTTGCACTAAAGATTCAGTGCATCCCACTAATAAAAATATTACATGTCACTCAATTTTTTTTTTCTTGCTAAATTTTTTTCTCTCCTCTTATGTGCAATACTCTTATTGATTGGATGCACTAAATCTAGGTGTAACAGTAACACCAAAAATTTATTCCATATCTTAAACACAAGTCGTGTTTCCACGGGAAAGAGAATGTTGCGTTAAAAGTTTATCCTTATCCTTATTATTTGTTATTAGACAAATTTTTCTCTATCTTATTTTTTATTTTTTTTTGAAATTAGTTATATTATTTTATTAGTAGTTATCTTTTGAGTATTATTAATTTTTAATTCAAATCATGATTAATTTCTTACACTTGCAGTAATATGTTCCAACAGGTAAATGACATACAACGAAAGGCAAATATTTCAGCCCTAAATATATATGGACAGAACAGAGCATTTTTACAACAAGTACAACAAAAAAGTTAATGATATTGTCCTCCAGTCCAGGTTCTTTATTTTTTTTGTTTTTTTTGGGTGCAGGAAAGTAAACTCAAGTCGTCATGCGCATCCATTTTATGTTTCATGACAAGATGGAACTAAGGGAGTGTTTGTTATGGAGATTTTGTTTAAAATGATGGGAAAGTGGAGAGGGAAATGTTTTTTGTCAATGTTTGGTATAAGCTATCATGATTCATTGCCAGCAAAAAAATTCTCCTATTAATCTCCATTTTCACTAAGTAGTGGAAAAAAACTATCCCCCCAAATCTATGGTATTTATTTTTTCCCGTTTACTTTGATTCTGATTGTAATAAATTCACGTTAGAAAATATAGGGACAATGGCGATTTGCGTTGCTCCTGACTTTTGGATAAAAAATGACTACTGTTGACAATATTCAAAATGACATGGGTAAAGTGGTAATTTATGTTAACTTTCCCTTTAATATTTTACAATCAACCAAATACATCATCAGTAAAATTAAGCACATTTTTTCAGTAAAATTTTGACCTACCAAACAACTTTTTGTTACTTTCCCGGACTAAATTATTTCTCATCATATTATCAGAAATCTTTTTTTCCTGGACAAAAAAAATATCTCCCATACCAAACGCATCCGGTGTTTGTGAACTTATCACCCCACTAGAAGGTTTAAGGGCATGTTTGGTGCATAGTATAGGATAAGGCCTGATAGTATAAGACCTGATAGTATAAGACCTGATTGTATAAGACCTAATTAAATTTTAATACTATCCAGCGTTTGGTATGATATTTTATAAGATAATATCCTCCAATATTTCAAAAATTAATATATTAAAAAAATTTATTTTAATATATAAATATTGAAATGATATATTAGTTCTTGAGAATTGTACTTGTAATCAATATTAATACATCAATCCCTTATCAGGCCTAATCCACCACTCCTAGGCCGGATAAGTTATACATCATTTTGATGTATAAAGGGGTCCTGCTGTATAAGCTTATACTATACGATGGTCACACCAAACAACTGAAAATGTCATAACGTATAGTATAAGCTTATACTATCAGGTCTTATACATCACACCAAACAGGCCCTAAGCCTTCTTCTGCATGCTGATTCCTATAGGGTCTCAATTCTCCGTTTGGTATGTTATATCTTTGTCAATGCACTCAACAAAAAGATAGAGTGAGAGACAAGCGCAATTTCCAAGCACCCCTCACCATTCCCAGAATTATTTTTATTTTTATTTTCATTTTTCATGTAACTAACCACCAACGAAAACCGTACAGAATTATTGAATATTGATGTTTATCAGCATCAAATAAGTGATCAACAACCAAATTTAAGACAGTATGCTTAGCATGCCTATTTGAACGGATGGATTTCCTTGCGGAAAACAATGACAAGGACACAAAGTTAAAAGATAAATTGAAGCTAATTAAACTTTACAAATAATGAAAAAAGGAAAGAAAAAAAAAACATGAAATCAACATTATATGAAGGTGTTATAGATCATATTACGAAACTAGCATGAATATACCGATGTTTTTGACATTATATATATATATCCTTTCCCAGGTTGAGTAGTTACCATTGTCTCATTCCACTATTCACATCCATAAACCATTTCTAATTATTTTCATTTGAATATTCATCTCTGTTTTTAGTAATAATCCAAAAGATCATATGCCAAACCGAATTACATAGCACATAATTTCATATAGACACTAGACTTTTATCCTTAAAAAATATTTCCACCCCATCGTTAATAAAAGAAAGTATATAACAATATAAAAAATAAAGTATATATATATATATATATATATATATATATATATATATATATATATATATATATGGTTAAACATTTCTACAGCCACTTTATATAAGGTTGTCTACGGCTATCCTTTTTAACTAAGTCTGACCAGTAAGACATAAAATTTATATTTTCTCTCTCCGCTACCTCAGCCGACAATGTCCGAGGAAATAGAAAAAAGAACAGCTTTATTGTTATAAATATGTTTTACTGGTCAGACTTAATTAAAAAAGGATAGTTGTAGATAATGTTATCTAAAGTGGCTGTGTTGT